ATGGAATTGACAACTGTTGTGAATCATTTAATTGCTCGTTAAAATTTCCACGCTACTTGTTTTTTTTCACCGTTCGACGCTTCTACCCACAACACTTCCGGTGAACCGAAATAAAAGACTACAAATGGCTTTAAACAAATTAAGCTTGACGCCATCGGCCAAGAATTCAATACAATTTATTGCCACGCATTGAAAAGGCTAGGCAGTCAAATGCAAAACGGAAATATGTCGCCAGTGGCGAAACAAATAAGGTTTTTTTCCAAAAAAAAAAAAACATTTTTTCCGAAACAATTAAAACAAAATATAAAAAAATAGTGGGACCTGACTTTGAACGATTTGTATGCCGAACGGCTTCATTGATCAATGAAAGAATATTTCTACAACTGCTCCCCTGTTATGTATCTATGTAGACAATCTACTTTTGTAGCCACGTAGATATTTATGTACGGGCACGTCAACCACACACCGAATGAATTCGCATTTTGGGTCAATGACAAAAAATTGCACTAGAATCGATTTAACAAATGGCGAAAATGTAGCAAAAACAATCAACAAAAAAACAAAAACTGTATCAGACATACAGCGAACGCATTGCGAAATTAGCGCCAAACAAATTGGTATCCAAGCAAACACAATTGAAATTGTCTACTTGTTTCTCTTTTGATGGGGCCTCTAAAAAAAAAACAAAAACTCGCAAATATAGACTATGAGAATATTTATTTGTGTATATGCAAAAATCGAGCGCACAGTGAGTAACGCGCACGGCGGGAGACGCGCTGCCGTTGAGGTGCGTTCATGCGCAACGCTGGCGATCTCGATCGTTCACTGGCAAGCTGTTAAAGATGCCCATATATACTCGTATAGGTTTTGATGATCGCGTGCAAATTTCGCACACGCTGTGTGGCAGCGTTGATCAATACTACTAATGTACTAATATTTATTTGTTGCCTTCGATTAGGGATAGGCTGATATGCGCAATGGTTTTTGCCAATCGGCGCCGATCAAATGATCAGATGACAAAATTGATCATTTTCAATTTGAATAAATTCATTGTGTATTCGCGCGCGAAATGAACGATCGAACGTTCGATCGATCGATTGTGTCCACGGCACCGCAGCACCAAGACCACCACCACCAATGTACCGTGCAGTGCCTTTATGGTGAGACACATTTTTGATCGTTTTTCGATCAGGCATGTTATTTTTATTATTGGTGTTCTCGGTGTTTTTTTTTTATTTTTTTTGGTTATTGTCATGTTTTAGTGTTCGGTGTTTGGTGTTCGGTTCACTAGCTTGAATTGATTTATGCGCTAGTTGGGTGGTCGCGCTGGCGCAATCGGACGCGCCGCTGCTAAGTCGAGCGCGCGTGCGGGCGGCAGGGCGAGCGAACGGTCCGTCGTACAAACTGTGAATCGCAAACGGATAGACAACCCACGAATTGGGTATGTCGCGTCGTGTGTGTATATTAGACCGCAGGCAGCAGAGGTATCGGAAGGCGCACGGTTTTGCTGCGACGCGCGGTATAAGGAGTTTTGATGCTTTAATTTCATTATTTGTTTAATTTTTTTTTTTTTATTTTATTACGCGCGCTGCATGTGAATTTGCCATTTTGGCCTTTTCATTTAACTGGCTACACATATGTAGACATGTTTGTTCAAATATATTTATATGTATGCATATTAGTGCGCGCGCGTATCAGCGCGTTGGCTATGACGTGGTTGCCACTATTTAGCATAGTTCATTTAAATTTTTATATTTTTTTATTGTGGAACCCTCCCGTCTGCGCGCTCTAGCGCTTTGCTTATTTTTGTTGCACTCGGCATGCAATGCATATTTTTTATTTTAAAGTTAGCTTTTAGCAATGAATTTGGTGTTGAATGTTGAACATGTCAGCGCCAACAATTCATAATCGACGTTGAAGTGCAGCGCGCACACGCGCGCAGTGCGCAACGCGTCCTCCAACAAAGCGCGCGCGCACGCGTACGCCAATCTACGCTGCATATGATGTGCAAATTGAACACCCCAAATGCATTGGAAATTTTTCTTTACTGTCCGCTACCATACGAAAATTTCCAAATTAAAAGAAACGAAAAAAAAATATTGCAGCCAGCAGTTCACCACACTTTTGATTTGATGTGGTCTGAGAGTCTGCAAGCCGCGCGCCGCTGCCGCCTAACCGCGTTTTATTTAGCCTTTTGTTTGTTGCGTTACACCGTTTATTAATCGGCTGTTCGGTTGGTTGCTTAAGCGCTCGCTGGTTGCATGACGCGCGCCTTTGCCTCAGCCGCCAAATTCAAAATTTGTTAAATTTTTGATTTCACATTCCCTTGGGGGTGAAATTTTTCGCCGTTGCATTTAGCCTCTTCTACTTTGCTTTAGTTTCCTCTCCTCGATCTTTTATCACTTTTTGGTGGTTTCTTTTTTTTTTTTGGTTGTTGTAATAATAACTAAAATTAGCAAAATTGCTAAAGTTTGACTTGCATGATTTATCTGTAATTTTACATCACATAATGGTTATGGATGAACAGCCGACAGGAGAGTGCAGACGGACGCGCAGGCTTGCAAAAACGTTCATACAGACGCGCAGACAGTCGTCTGTTCGCTACAGCAAGTGTTGATAGTGTCGAATGGAGTCGCGCCTTTTGCGTTTAGTATCAAATGTACATACATACATGCATTCCCACATTAGCGTGGTCCAAAAATGCATGGGGAAAAAAGTTAAGTTCACAGCTCCCACTCCCTAAAATTGCTTGATATCGAAATAAAATATACCTCTGCTTTTTTTATTCAATCAAAAAATATTTAGAAGTTGTTCAAAGCGCTCAAAGTTTCCCGTGATTTTATATGGCAAAAGAACAATTTTTCGTAGTCCCTGAAAATAAAAATTTCAACAGTATTTGCCGATTGCCATTTCTCAAAAAAAAAAAATTGTATTTTAGATTTTTTCCCACCCTAATCTATGTACGATCTCTAAAAAATACGGTACATTTTTTCGATATGGAAGAATCCTAGATGGAGAGAATTAAATCGCCAACTCTACTTTTTGGATCACCTAATTTATGTACAGCTTCTAAATATTTTTGATTTCAAACAAAAAAGGAGTGTATATTTTTTCGGTATAGAACAAACCTAGGAGTGGGGGAGAGTATTAATTAGTTAATTAATTCCGACTTTAATTTTTTTTTTTTACAACCCTAATGTATGTACCATCTCTAAAAATTTGTTTGATTGCGAACAGAAAAAATTGTATACTTTTTCGATATATGTAGAACAAACCTAGGAGGGGGAGCATTAAATTTCCGGCTCAACTTTTTTTTGGATCACACTAATCTATGTATGTACGAGCTCTAAATATTTTTTGATGTCAAATAGAAAACCAGAGTATAGAACAATACTAGTAAGGGGTGAGCATTAAAATTCTGACTTACTTACTTTTTTTGGATCACCCTAATCTATGAATACCCATACATACTAATAGTTTTATATTCCCCCCAAAACTTCGTTGTTGCACTATTTTTAATACAACGCTTTGAACATTAAACGTCTAGGAAAAATCCCAAAAAAAAACAAATGATGAAAACAAAAATCTTTCAAAAATAAACCAATTTTTTTTTTACACTTGCGGGTGTTGTTACCATAATTTCAACTGTCGACGAAAGTTAGTTGCTTCATGGCATTTTAACTTTTTCCCCATTTTTTTCCACAACCAATACTGCCGCCACCACCCTGGCATATGCTTTTTATATTGACGCCACTTTAGTCCACTCTACTCGGCATTACGCTGCTCCTGTCTGCACCCCGGCGCCAATCAAACGCTTTTTCTCACCGGTCATAAAGCTAAGCCATGCAATTGTTGTTAGCTGCCGGTGTTTTTTACTGCTATTTCTAAGCACTTCAATACTCTCACTCTTCACCATTGGCGTGTTGGCTTTTTTCTTTCGCCCCCTGCGTTGTCCTCATCGTCGCTGCCGTCGTAATATGTAATCTATTCAAATTTTTCGGCATATGATGTAAAAAAAAATCTATCTATGCTCGGCTATGACATACTCCTCGTATATGTATGTATAAAAAAAAAAAAAAACATAAAACTTATTCGTTGTTACTCAATTTTGGCGCATTGAAAAGTTTATAATTTTTTCGCTTATTCGATTATGTCGGCAGTGTTTCCGTATTTTTTTGGGGCAAACGGAAAATGGTTGGTTTGTGTTGCATGCATTCTTGCCATTGGCGGTCAGGTTGAATGAATATCAACGAAAAATCAAGTGAAAATTGGCAGCTACAACATATGTTCAAATGTATAGCAATATGTATATATATAAGTACCTGCTACATATGTACATACATACATACAGTGACGATCAAAAGTATTGGCACAGTGAATTTTTCGCCATACATGCAAAGGTTTTTATTCTAATTTATTTTCGATAATTTTTTATAAAAATATAGTTCATTCTACACCAGAAAACGTAATAATAAAAACTCTAAACTTTGTGCAAAACTCAGGAAAATTCATTAAATTTGCACACTAATTTGCAACTTTATATTCAGATTTTTTAGAAAAATCCTAAGTATGCAGTTTTATAGCCCATTCAAATTTAGTATAACAAAGTGCAAGTTTAAAGTTGCTAGAAAATCGCGTTGATTTTTGGCAATTTTTTTAGTGGAAGGTGTTGTTCATTTTCTCCATACAAAAAATAATTGTCGAATTACTTTGTATGGAAGAACTTGCGTGAAAAAAAATAGATGTTAGTATGTATGCAGTACATTAGGCACACAAACATTTGTAGAAATGCATGTGTAATTAAAAAAAAATAAAAATAATATGTATAATGTAGAATAAGAAAGTGGTCGTAAGTAGGAGGGTCATATGGAAAACAAAGTTAAAGATTAGTTTTTTTTTATACTCTAGCAGTAACTAGTTTGTATTTTCATCATCTTTATTCGTCATTTCTACATAACATCATTCTCTAATCATATTTCCTGAATTTTTTCTTCTTTCAGAATGTTCTGTGGCGCAAAGGATGGCCACTTACCACTCCAACTGGCGAAGTTGTCTTACACTTGGGTTCACTTGATAATGCCTTAGTGCGTCCAGGCGATCTATACTTGTGTGTTAAAAGTGGTAAGTGGCACAACTACATATTAGGGTGGTCCTTAAAATCATACACATTCAAAAAATTTTACCCCTTGTCCTACGTACGAAATAAATACAGCTTTGAAGAGTTCAAAAATTTAAACAAATTGTCAGAGGTCGTTGACTGGGTTAGAAAAAAAAATATTTATATAAAAAAATTGCAAAAATTCTACAACGTTTTCTACTTGAGATCTCATAAATTTACATATATATCTATTATTGAAACTTATTCACATAAATTCATAAACTGGCTGGCTTATATGTAGATGGTCAAAGTCAAACTTTTTTCCAATTTTTTGTGACTTAAAAAATCTAATTGTTTTTATTTTTAATATTCGTGAATGTCTTTATTTTGGTACGTGGAATTAAAAAAGGGTCTTCACATGATGTTCTCTAGGTTTTCATTTAACATTTTTGCAATGGCTTAAGTCTTATCCTAATCGGAGGCGTTGTGTTGTTACTGTGGGTGATGCTCAATCAGAACCTTTTATCGATACTTCAGGTATTCCACAAGTTAGCATTCTAGGACCATTGCTTTTCGTATTGTTCATTAGCGAACCTTAATTGCCCTTTCCCTAATTTTCTTTTGTACGCACATGATTTCAAAATTTATTTTCAGTTAATAAGAACTCCGCTGACTTAATGAAACTCCAATCGGAGCTGTATTATTTATATTGGTGGTGCTTGAGTTCACATCTTTTTTTGAATATTAAAAAGAGCTTTTAAATATGTCTCATTTTCGAAATCACGTAATTTATTAAAAACTCGATACAGCATCTCTAATTGTAATTTGCAGCCGATTATCGAAATTAATGATCTTGTTCTAATCTTTGATATTAAATTTTCATTTCTTCTTCTTTTTCTAATTTGGTGCTGTAACCGCCTAAGCGATTTTGGCCGAGTTCGTTTCTTTTCTGTGCCAACTGACGCCAATTGGAAACGCTAAGTGAAGCCAAGTCCTTCTCCACTTGGTCTCTCAATTGCAGTGGGACCTTCCTCTTCCTCTGCTACCACCAGCGGGTTACGAGTTGAATACTTTCAGAGCTGGAGCGTCGGTGTCCATTCGAACGACATGACCAAGCCAGCGGAGCCGCTGTATTTTAATTCGCTGCACTATGTCCATGTCGTTGTAAAGCTCATACAGCTCATCGTTCTATCGTCTGCGAGTCTCGCCATCGCCAACGCGTAAAAGCCCGTAAATCTTCCGCAAAATCTTTCTCTCGAACACTCGACCAATGCGTTTAGCGCTGAGCGTTGGCCATAGTTTCCTGGCAGTTCCACAGGTGATTTCGTCGTGCCATCTTCTGTTCGCTACATTAGTGAACCTCCCGGAGATAAGTAGCTTGTAAGGGTATTCCTATTTCATCGTGTATGTCCTCAATAGGGAGTTTGGTGCCAAGTCGCGACAGTTCATCGGCCTTGCAGTTCCCTTCAATGTCGCAGTGTCCCGGAACCCATAGCACCTTTGGGCGAAATGACTGAGCCATCTCGTTAAGAGATGTGCGGCATTTCATGGCTACCATGCAGGTTGTCGACTTCTTCGTAAGGGACAGCCACCTGGCTGTCAGTGAAGATGTAGATATCAGCTTGGGATATCATATCACACTTAACCAGTTTTGTGGCTCAGTCGATTGCTATCAGTTTCGCCTGAAAGATGCTACAGTGGTCTGGAAGATGAAGCTAAGGGAGATTTTCAGGTGTTCGGAGTATACACCCCCACCAACTCTCCCCTCGAGCTTTAAGCCATCTGTGCATACATGGATGGACTCGCCTCTCTTTAGAGCGTCTCGTTTCCACTCTTCCCTTAAGGGTAGGATGGTCGTAAACGCTGTAGTGGGATCAGAGTTCGGAAGGGTGTAGTCCACCGATCCGGGAAGCTCCGAAAACTCCGTTAATATTCTACCATGACCATAAAAATGTTTGACCACTTATTTAGGCTATTCATACTTAAGAAAGTAGGGCATACAGTGCCTTGTATGGTGTTGTTCTCATTGCGCCAGTTATGAGTGTGGACGCGAGCCTTTGGACCTTATCCATCTTTTTAAAGTTTACCCCTTTCCCAAGGGTGTCCCATCATACCACTATGCCGTGATGGAGAATTGTCCTAACTACCGCTGTGTATAGCCAGTGTATTATTTTGGGCTCCATCCACAATCTTTTTCCTATTGACCTGCTGCAAGAATATAGTGCTACTGTTGCTTTGCGTACTCTATCTGCAAAATTCGGCCCCAGTTTAGTTTCTTATCAAGTATGAGACTTAGATATTTGGTCCCTTCCTTTACTTCAAAGGTTTTTTCCCTTAGAGTTATAGCGTCGAGGTCGGGCGTGGTACATCTCGTACAGATTTACTATTTAATACTGCATATCTCTAGAGGCGTTCATGGTAGAGTACTGAGACTTGGTATTGGGATATATCAAATCAATTCCAAACTCATGGAAGAAAATTAGGGTTATAAGAAAAAGGGGCGTGGCACTTGCCGTACAAATTTAGTTTTTCTTTCCACATATCCCTGGAAGTGTTTGTGGAAGGATACTGGAACTTGGTATGTTGTAATGTATATAAAATTTGTCCATTGCTCCTCATTCCAAGTGCCAGGCAATGAATCTCTGATCGAACTCCATTTTCCATTTGGGTATCATTTTTATAACAGTTTCCATATGGAAAATGGACTAGTCTGCTAATAGCTTATTTTTATGTATGTTTGCACATCTTGTAAATAATATTGCGTAACCTAAATCACTTCTGATATAATTTTTCTTCTTCTTCCCTCACCTCCAGCTAATAAAACGGAAACACCACAACTGTTTGCAGTTTGGCGTAGTGCCCCAAGCGACATAGTACAACTACAACAAAAACAGCAACCGCTACATGCAAGTGCAACAGGAACTTTAACTGCCACGGAAACTGCAGACGCATCAAAAATACACAGTTATTGCATTGACTTTAGCGCAACACCAGCGCCAACAGCAACAACCCCACCAACACATCTGAGCGCATTAACACTCGAAATGTTGACGAGTGACGAATTACCGCAATTGCTGCAACAATTGCTTGTGGGCGTTGAGCATAGCATCGAGCGGGTCTCGTTGAATGAGCTGCAAATGACCGCCACGACGACGACGACGACGACGACGGCAACAACAGCAATGCCGCTGGCGGCTGATGTGGCCAACAATAATAATAATGGCAACAAAATCAATATCAACAGCATGTTAGTGCGCTGCAACAACAGCAGCAACAGCAACAACAACAACAACAACACGATTACAAACTCACCAAAATGCGCACTACGGCGCAGCGAATTGATTACCAAAAACAAAGTGCTTAACAATAAATTCATGTTGCGACGCCTAACAAATCGCCAGGATAGCATGAATTCCACATCGTCCGGACAGAGTTGTGGCAGTAGCGGAAGCACCTCCAGCGATGAGCTATTGCGTTGCAACACCAACAGCAGCAGCACCATCACCACCACCAACCATAACAGCAATCACCTAAGCGCGGGCGGTTCGGGCAATGGGATGTTGGTGAGTGGCAATAATGGCTGCTCCTCGTTGGAACCATTGAAAATGTCTGCGGGCTCAACAAATTCGGCAAGCACTTCACCAGCATTGCCGCTCTTCTGTTTGGGTAATTCATTTCCGCACATCGATAGCGATGAGGAGAATGCGGATGAGAAGCGCAGCGCGAACGGAGAGGGTGAGTAGTAACTGCATATGCGTAAAAAACGAAGCAAATTTACTTAGATATATTTAAGAAATACAATACGAGATACGAGGTTCCTTACCAAATAGAAGCCTCTTACACCGTGTGACAGTCAATTATATGGCGTAAGGATTTTTTAAAGGACTTTGAAATTTAGAAAATATGCTTAATTAAAAAAATTATTTAAAAAATGCAGTGCTATGTAGAAAAGCAGTATGAGTGTCACATTAAAGAGAAAATTCTGTAGATGTAAAACTGGTAAGATTTTATGCTTGAACATCCTTGAGATTTTGCAATATTTATTTTGGAACAACGCTCTTTATAAATTTCATTTGTTTCGCATATAGATTCCAAAATCTCGATGAACTTATAATTTAAAGTTGAATTCAACTGCTTAAGCAGGTGGCTTCCCTCTTCAGAAAATATGATATATTTTAAGCTATCTATATGCCAAAATTTCTTACAAGCGGATACCAACAAACACACACACACATCACTCGCAAGCTTTTGCATTTATAATATTTATAAGTAGCATTTTATTTGACTTTGTTAATGAAATTCCTAAGCCGGAAGCAACCCTCGTCAAAAGCGATTTCTAAAAAAATATAGCTTTCGTAAAACCTCACTCATTTGATAACCACTTTAAAATTCTGTCTTTAGTTTGTCAATTAAGTTGATTTCGAAATATTAAACAGGTGGCAGCTCCCTTTAAAAATAATATTGAATTAAAGCTTTCTTAAATATATTTCGTTTAAGTTGTAAATCTTAATACATTTTGAACTCCAAATTAGGTGGCAACCCTCTAAAATATATTTCCTAAATAGAGCTCTCTTAAATCCCTCTCGTTTGTTGCCTATGGAAATATTTAGTCAATTAATTTGATTCTCGCTTTCTATACAGGTGGCAACCCCCTCAGAAACTAACTTCGAAATCTAGCAGTTTTAAACTTCACTCGTTTGACTGTTATTTCAAAATATGTCTTTAATCTTGTTAATTAAACTGATTTTGAATTTCTAAACAGGTGGCAATCTTCTTCAAAGACATTGGGGAAATAAAGCTTACCTTAATCTCTTTCGGTTGACGTCCATATAATAATATTTCGTTAAACTTGTTAAACAAATTGACTTTTAATTTCCAACTGAACTCTCTTCAAAAATTATTTCGAAATAAGGTTTCCTTAAACGTCTCTTGATTTCATTTCCATATAAGATATTTCATTTGACTTGTTAATGATATTGACACTGAACTTTAAAACAGGTTGCAACTTTCTTAAAAACCATTTTCGAAATAAAGATTTCTTAAAACTGTCTCATTTGATACCCTATAAACTTATTTCATTTGGCTGGGTTTTTTTTTACTTTTTGAACAGGTGGCAACGCCCTTAACAATTATTTCGAAGTAGATCGTTTTAGAACTCCTTTTTTTGACATCCACGTTGTCGTAATATTTCACTTAACCTATAAACTTGATTTTAACTTTTGGAAAGGGTGGCAAGTCTCTTTAAAATTTGGAGAACGAAGGTAGTTGCTTACGCTAATGACTTGGCTATCTTTTCTCGCGCCAAAACTAGTGATCTAATGGAATTGGCCATTGGCAGTGTTTCCAACTGGGAAAAACGAAAACGGGTTAGGAGTTAACCCTTCTAAAATCGAACTTATCTTGTTGGCGACGAAGACAGAAATTGAAGAGATCCCCACCAAAGCTAGACGGAAATAGCCTGAACCTTTCCTCTGAGTCGAAGCCCTTAGATGTTATCCTTGGCGCCAACTTACATATAGGAAAGGGAAAAGAAGTGTACTATACCTTCAAAAGGGATTTGGGCAAAAACTGGCGCTGGTCACCGCATATCATTCACGGTATGTACACCACAGTCCGGACAGCCACTGGATGCCTTCTGATGTCGCCACAACACCATCTATACGATGAGGCCTAGACGCTCCCCGTCAAGGAACACAACATTCTCTGTAAACAGTTCTTAGTAGGATGCTACAGACGCGTTCACCCGAACAGACACCTGCTTGCAGCAGAGCCCTCGCCAAGGCACGTCAGGAGGCATCTACACAAACTGACGGACGAAGTCCAGAGGTTCATAAAACACCCTCTGCACTCGAAAGCATACCGATAAGCCATAAACACCATTTATAGGAAGCCGATCTCAACTTACACCGATCCTATACCTATTAATGCCGTTTTGGGAACCAAACCACCTAACATGGACGAGACAGCGCTTCGTTTGCCTCGGGACACTCGCACCGCAATATCCAAACTTCACTCTGGCTAATGTAGCAGGCTAAACTCGTACCTGCGCAGATTAGATACACCTTTGTCCTTATGAAAAAACCCAATCGAAGTTGCACGCTTCCTGGGTCTCCTGTTAGGAGTTTGACGACAACGGTTGAGGGACAAGCCGATATAGTCACATCACATATTCGTAGTAGGCGTAGCCGCAAAATAAAGTTTGGAAGCATACCAATTATGGGCATGAAGGTAATTAACAGCAGATGACGGCAAGACTGACTTAGACGTCGTAAGATGCTCATAATTTTTCCAACTAGGGAAGATTGGGTGCGGCCAGTAAATGACTTTATTTCCGCCTACATCGATGGCTCAAAGATGGAAGAAGGTGTTGGCTCGGGTCTCTACTCCAAGGCCTTTCATATAAAGCCAACATATCGCCTGGCGGAGATCTTAGGAATACAGAAGGCGGCTTGTCTCATACTAGATAGTAAGTTTCTGTCAACTAATGTCACTCTTTCGTGTACAGGCAGGAGGCAAAAAAAAATTGAGTTCCAAGGTAGTAAAATCGAAAGTGGTTCGAAAATATCGGGTATCGCTGGCATCACTAAGTCATTTCAAAGCCTTCCTCTGCTGGCTGCCTGGACAAAGCAATATCAAAGGAAATGAAATTGCTAATGAGATAGCTAAAAACGGCTGGGAAATCCAGGTTAGCGAAGCAAGAAACTCCCTACTACCACCGATTTCTTTCTACTAAGGCGTATCGAAGAATACACCACAGGCGTAACTAATGACCTATGGATCAATAGGGACGACTGTGATAGCTCAGGAACCTCAAAAAGATTTGCACTGAAGAATTATTGACGCTGACAAAATCTTCGTTAAGGGCTCTTGTTGGTATCAGCACAGCACACTGGGCATACTGACATTGAATTTAATAAATTGGGTTAGAAGGATGTGCCTCCTCCTCCTCCTGGCACTCATAGAGAACATTGACAGTGGGCAAGTCTGTCTCCGAGTGAAATTACTAGTTATTCGTAGGCCCCTTCCTAACCTAACATATTTATAAAAAAAAATTTTAACTAACAAAATGTGATTTCACTCAATTTCTTATGCAAAAAAAATGTCTAATAAAGCAAAAAAGCAAAGTACTCTTATATCCAGCAAAGACTAAAAGTTTAAACATATTTACTGTTATTTAATATTTCCTGACCTTACTGCATTTGTTTTTTTTTTTTAATTTTAAAACAAACCAAAAAAGTGACACTTCAACAAAACTTTTCAACTTTTCCTTTCATTTCCACTGCCAAATGGCAAATAACTACGAGTACGTATGCAAAACGAATCATTGAAAAATTACCAAAGCAATCAATCAATCATGCTTTGTTTTATGGCTAACAAATAAATGCTTCACCTTGCTCTTGTCGCCGAGATGCAATGGCAATGGATAAAGCGGCTGGCGTGCTGTTGCTGCTGCTCGCTCACCTGTTGAGCGCGCAAACAAAGGCAATGAGTGCAACGCCTTCTATGCAGAGATGCATAGCAAATGAAAAGGAAGGGCGTCTACTGCCGACAGCATTAAGACAGGTACGCAGGCTATAGCAAAGTGTGCAGAAAGAAAAAAAATCGCATTATAGACAGCAAGGCAAATGGAGAGAGAGAGATGCAAAGTTCAATATAGCTATATGTATGTTTGGTTACTCAGGTAGATGAACCAGCCGGCTTGCAGAAAAAAAAGCTGTTAAAGGAAACCAAAAACCCCAAAAAAAATAGAATCATTTAAAATATAATTTTAAAAGCGCAAGCAAATGGTTTTTGCTTTTCCATTTCGCAATTTAAGCTTTTTATTGCCATTGCAAGAGATTTGTTGCCCGCACGAAATTTAAAACAATCGCAAATACTACTTATTTAGGTACATACTACACCCTTAACTCCTTGACACTCCACAATTTGCCTGCGCGCCATAATTTATGTCTACCCATTTGCTTGTTTTCCTTTTTAGTGGCTTTCAAATGCAAGCGCACAAACATATACATATGTATGTATGTATATTTATTGTACTAGAAAAATGTTTGCAATTGAATTTATGTTTTAACAAAGCATAATTTATTAAAAGCTCCACTCAAAAGTCACTCATACGCCAGCGCGTACCTACATTTTTATGCTACAAGCGTACGTTGGTGGAGAGGGCATCACTGCGCTTGGTGATTACGTCGTACGACATTCAAATTATATAATGTGCAGCGACAATGACATTTTGAAACGTATGTACTTATGTAAGGCTTGTGACTCTGTTATTGGGTAAAAAATGGGGAAAATGGCAACCCAAAAAAAAGCCGCTGCAAGTCAAGAAAACTTCATGTTCCGCTGTTAGTTTGTTTGTTTGTGTGTTTGCTGCCTTCAAAAGAGACATTCACCGCCACAAATATTAGTGAAATTAAACGACGACAAATGAATAAATTGCTACAGCAATGACAAGCAACAACGCAAAGCAACATTGAAAATAAAGCAAGCTGGCATTGTAGTGCCCAAAAGCAACAGCAGCACCAACAACATCAAAAATTCAGTACCAGCAAAGCAAGCACATCAACAAAAAGTGGCAATAATAAAAATGTCAAAAATTTTTACCAGAGAGTAACAAGAGCAAACAAATGTTGTACATACTTAGAAAAGCGGAAATGAAGTCAATTGGTCATTGAACGATTTGTGGGATTGTTTGCATTAGGGTGGCGCTTATTCTTCAGAGGGGAATACTTTCG